TTTAACAATTAAAGTGTTTCCATTAGTGACTGTTACATTTTCACTAATTCGTTGTGTTCTATGTATTTCAACCACCAAAGACTAAATAATTGTATGCTTTACGTATTGTTGCGTCTCGTACAGTCTCCAGGCATGACGTCAGCCTCGAGTGCTGGAGGTCCCGGTTCAAACCCCGGTGAAGGCAGGGATTTATTCACGTGGACTTCTAGGAATTTTCCCGTATTTCTGGGTGATAAGATCGGACGAACGTAAAAAATCCCTTTGTAGTTGGAAATCAAAAAGAGTATCCTAACGACGCTGCCCGGGCAAAATCTGGAGTTAAAAATATACCCAAAGTATGTCTGGATCCTCGCCGGTGCTACAGAATCGTGCACTGCGCTGAGAATATTGGGAATCCGGCTTGAGTTAGAAGCAGAGCGGAGCACTGATGTGTTACTATCCTTGTGCGTCGGGTGAGAATCCCTATGGATGTCCGGTCTCGGGTTCCAGCTGAGCATCTGGCATCTAAGGCTGAACTCAGTGGCCTATTCGGCCCAGATAACTCTGTCTGACTTTACTTCCTAAGAGATATCCTGGTGCCCATTTTAGGCTGGGTTAATCATGCCAGAACACTACTTTCTTTTTCGCATTCACAGGCTGTAAACTCCGGCGGAAACTTTTGGTTGTTCATCAACCTCTAGACTTAAGACTTGTTCCAGTGTTGCGTGCATATCCGCTTCACAGATCTGACTTATTTGTATACGGACTGTTGGTTCCTTGCACTCCGACTTAGAAGAAAGCTTTTAATTAGTTAACTCTTACGACAAGCTTGATTTGGAGGCAGTTGGTCTATTCTTGTTCCCCCCCCCCCCCCACAATGGGGTCTCGGAACCTATACGGGGACATGCCTTCTACTGTATGTGATAAATTGCTGATAGAAAAATATGTTATCTTGTCAAACTGGCCTATAAATGCATTTTCTGATATGTCATTTTGTTCTCTCTCACCCCCCCCCCCACCTCATTTCTTCTTTCTTTTCGTTGCTTGCTTCCGGGCGGATACCGGAAGGTCAGAAAACCTCCGAGACTGCAAGAATCTTATTTAGGATGGCAAACCAACAGGGCACATTGCAGACATCCGGCTCAACCCCAACAGATGTGATAACTGGCTCACCCGTAACGTCGACAGCAAGTTCTGCTGGCTGTGCGGAAGACAGTCACTTAATCTGTACTCTGTGAGACCAAGTCACGCCATGATTGACTGACTGACACCTCCAGGATCGCAAATTCTAGAAACCCCCTTCAACCGTTAAGTTATTATTCGACGACCGCCGAGGTGTGGCTTTAACAGACAAATATAAAAGCATCTTGTATTGGGGCGGAGTTCAGAAAAGTCCCGCCATGTTTTTGCAGACATTCTGACTAATGTCGGCCTCAGAAAAATGTGGTCACCAGAAATAAACTATGCAGAAAAGAAGGTTACTGGGATAGCTATAGGAGGACATCTTTTCTCTGACTGTAACTGTCCTTCCATCTTATTCCGTAACGACTTCATATCCGTCTGCAGGTACATAATTGCTCTGCCAATGCCAGATTTGTTGACTCAGCGCTATCTGCTTGCCAAACACACAGTCGCAGCTTCGGTTGTTCAGTCCCATTAGCTAGTTCTAGGAGAAATAACCGGAAAGATTGCTAGGTCATCGGGTTTAAAGGGCGAAAACTCGGAAACAGATACGTTGTAGGCTACTCATCGTGGGCTGAATGTTTTCAGTAAATTACTTAACCGAGTAACGACCTGAGCCCAGGGGGAACCAGACAGGGCACTCGAGCAGGGATTGGTGTCTGAACAGACGAAATCATGGAGAAACAGCAGGGAAGTGGGTCTATCAAAGCACACGTAGAAAGACGGTAGAGGCGACGATAACAAGTAACAGCGCATTGAAAGGAAAACAATATGTATAAGTGAGAGGAAGTTCTAGACTGATTTTCAGACGGCACGATGATGCTCTCCTAGTCAGCCTCGCCTTCCCCATGGTCTGATGTTTTGGTAACACAGACCAGGTGTACCTGGTCGTCTGGGGCGCTTTGGGGAAATCCGTGTTCCGGGAATAGAAGCTCTACAAAGCATTGGGGTCGTCTGGTGGAATGTAATGGTGTCTGTACACATTATAACGAGGTTGTAGTAAGGCAGATAACGAGGTTGTAGTAAGGCAGATAACGAGGTTGTAGTAATGCAGATAACGAGGTTGTAGTAAGGCAGATAACGAGGTTGTAGTAAGGCAGATAATGAGGTTGTAGTAAGGCAGATAACGAAGTTGTAGTAAGGCAGATAACGAGGTTGTAGTAAGGCAGATAACGAGGTTGTAGTAAGGCAGATAACGAGGTTGTAGTAAGGCAGATAACGAGGTTGTAGTAAGGCAGATAACGAGGTTGTAGTAAGGCAGATAACGAGGTTGTAGTAAGGCAGATAACGAGGTTGTAGTAAGGCAGCATGTAGTCTTGTGTTGATGTGGTTCAATCTGCTAACCGTATTTGGTTCACTTCAACGGTTGGTCCAGTTTTCTTGCAGAATGCCACGAAAGCCCACTTAACAGACACAATCTATGGGTAGTTCTTTTCTTAGAATGTTCTTTTCGACTGCATGGTTAATATCCTTAGTTTAACGTCATCTTGGTCGGCTGAGACAAGTTATTTAACACTCAAACGTATGTTGGTAGAAATTAGAGCTGTACTGAATATTCGCTTCGTATTCGCTTCGGGGCTAATTAGTGGATTTAATAACTATTCGGTATTCGGCCGAATACTTGCGGTTGGACCGAATACGAATAGGGGTTACCTTACACCCGTTTCTGCATACACTGCGATGGACTGAAATAACTCTCTCATTAACACAATAGTTGCTGTTGCCTAAGTCTGTCGTAGCGGGGGGGGGGGGGAACTGCGACCCGGTTGCGTGGTACAGCAGCTGGCAAGGTCTTTGCCTGCTGACTCGACCGAGGCATTACAGCAGAGGTTCTCAAACTGGGTGCGTTTGCCAGGGGTGCCGCGGCGAAAATAAAGAAATGTCGGCTATTAATTGTGACATTATTAAAGAAGGCAAGAAGATACTTAAAAGTTAAACTTTGAATTGTCTTTCCTCGACACTGTCAAAAAAGAGTTTTTTCCCTTGTTTCACACTCAAAGTGTATCATACTGCATAAAATGCCTACCGCAGCGTGCTAAAAATTGTCTTTGTATTTATCTCGAGGTGCGACCACGCTTAATGAACTATTATGAGATATGCCGACAACCGTTGACACCGTCTGTTGGTGAAAGCGTCAACTGTTGGCTGTTCAAGTTCCGACTCTGTCCTACGGTTCGAGTGTGCAGGTGTTTTTCGCACATAGTTGGAGCTACGGAGTTCTGTGCGTTGTCTGACGCTCTAGTAGGCCAAAAACTGCCCTGCCTTATGGGATAACACCTGGAGCAATAATGTCGATCCTCTTGCCTTTTGTATTCTAGACAAGACGATGGAGAAGACTGACAAGATGTTATCACTCAACATAAATCAGCTAAGGGTATGGTAGTTCCAGATCAAGTGCATACTGCAGTATTTTTTTAAAACATAAAGCATGGCAAGCATTAACAGGTAAGGGTTTCCGGGAGAAAAACAAAACCGTGACATACGATAAAATATGTGGGGAAATGTGATATTGGATACAATATTTGACGAAATGTGGCAACTGATACAAGATGTTATGCAAATACATCAAAGATTCGGCACATCCAAAAACACTTTGAAAGAACAACTTCATGAAAACACACACACAAATTCACACCAAGTAAAATAATTGGGTCACTGTTCAGAGACTGCATGCCAAACAGATTTTCACAAGTAACGTGGACAACCCAGCGAACACTGTCCTCGCTTCAGAAGTGACGTGGACAACTCAGAGAACACTGTCCTGGCTTCAAAAGTGATGTGGACAACTCAGAGAACACTGTCCTCGCTTCAGAAGTGACGTGGACAACCCAGAGAACACTGTCCTCGCTTCAGAAGTAACATGGACAACCCAGCGAACCTTGTAATCGCTTCAGAAGTGACGTGGAGAACCCAGCGAACCTTCTAATCGCTTCAGACGTGACGTGGACAACCCAGCGAACCTTGTAATCGCTTCAGAAGTGACGTGGACACCCAGCGAACCTTGTAATCTCTTCAGAAGTGACGTGGACAACCCAGCGAACCTTGTAATCGCTTCAGAAGTGACGTGGAGAACCCAGCGAACCTTCTAATCGCTTCAGAAGTGACGTGGACAACCCAGCGAACCTTGTAATCGCTTCAGAAGTGACGTGGACACCCAGCGAACCTTGTAATCGCTTCAGAAGTGACGTGGACAACCCAGCGAACCTTGTAATCGCTTCAGAAGTGACGTGGACAACCCAGCGAACCTTGTAATCGCTTCAGAAGTGACGTGGACAACCCAGCCAACACTGTCCTTGCTATATATATATATAGTCTCTGGTAAAATACTACATTCTAACATGTCCTGTCTAGTCTCTGGTCAGTATACTACATTCTAACATCGTGCTTAACAAGAAAGACTTTGAGCTCCTTGAAAGTTCTCTAGTCACGAAAAACAACACTTCGAGCTGGTCAACCCCTGCCTCTTCCTCCACAGTCTAAATCTTTCACTCAAATCTTTTAGAAGTGTATGTGTGCGCGTGCGTGCGCGAGTGTGTGTGTGTGTGTGCGTGTGTGTGCGCGTGTGTGTGCGCGCGCGTGTGTGTGTGTGTGAGTGCGTGTGTGTGAGTGTGTGTGTGCTAATGATACTGATAGTGATGATGTTCCCGCCGGTCATCGTTAGAATGACTGATCTACGCGATGAGGACAATAACAGTGATGTAGTCATGATGATGATGATGATATTCAGATGATGTTTATGATGATGATGATGATGATCAGATAATGTTTATGATAATGATGATGATGATGAAGATGATGACAGGCAACAAACAAACAAAGACTGGCGGCCGGTCACTCACCTGTCAAGGGTTTACTCTGCCGGACCTCGCCGAGAAGGTTCCTGGCCACACACTCGTACTCTCCAGTGTCGTTGATGACGGAATTTCTAATCACTAGCGTGGACTGGCGCCTGGCAACAGACAAACATCCACCATCATTGAACATACAACATCAACCGTTATTGAACATACAACATCAACCGTCATTGAACATACAACATCAACCGTCATTGAACATACAACATCAACCGTCACTAAACATACATCAACCGTCACTGAACATACAACATCAACCGTCATTGAACATACAACATCAACCGTCACTGAACATACAATATCAACCGTCACTGAAAATACAACATCAACTGTCATTGAACATACAACAGCAACCGTCAATGAGCATACAGCATCAACCGTCACAGAACATACAACATCAACCGTCATTGAACTTGCAACATTAACCGTCATTGAACATACAACAACAACTGTCATTAAACATACAACATCCACCGTCATTGAGCATACAGCATCAACCGTAACTGAACATACAACATCAACCGTCATTGAACATACAACATTAACCGTCATTGAAAATACAAGTTTCCCGATACACACAGTCTGTTTACACTGTTTGTGTGTGTTTCTTTTATTCACACACAACAAAATTATGACTTTGTTTTCTAGGCAACTCTAATAGGGTACCTTTATTCTTCGACAGGGTCGCCCCAACAGCATTATGGGCCCCGAGACAAACCTGTGTGCTGGGGCCCCTACGGCAATCACTCACAATAATGAACTATAAATGGTCGATAATATTTTTGTTATATTAATTTGATTAGCACTTCAGTCAGCCAGATACCACCTGGTTTAAATACCAACCTTGTCGATAGTGGACTTGAAAAAAGTCCTAGCGATAATGATGCAATCTAACTGACTACATACTGATTTCAAAAAGATTCAGGAGCAGTTTAACAGGAGCAAAGACTGGGCCAGGAGCAGTTTAACTGGAGCAAAGACTGGACCAGGAGCAGACTGCAACAGTGATCATTTTCAGTTATAGTAAAGTTTAGAATGAAACTCAAGACTATAAGGAAGACCCCAAGAACATCAAGTTATATTCAGGAATAGTTAAAAATGATAAAAAAAATTAAGCGAAACAGATATAATGCAAGGAAAAAGTCGAAAATATTGACGAACAATGGGATATGCTGTGTGAGTCAATTTAACAGACATCAAAAGATTTTATTCACCCAACACATTGAGTTGCAAAAAATAAATGTATGACAAATGAAATTCTGCAGATAATAGATCACAGAAGGAGGAAAAAGAATAATAAAGAATATAATAAGGAAATAGTGAACAAATGCAAAGAAGCTAAAGAAACCTGGCTGAATCAGATGTGCGCAGAGATGAGGGAAAAATCACGGGAAAGACTCACATTCCATGCTCCAACAGAGAAACATATTAACAGGAAAGACGAGATGTAACGTTAGTAAATGTTTAAAACTGGAAAACAAAGTGAAATTTTAACGGGGCATAGTGACATAATTAGAAGATGGGCACGGTACTTGGGAGATCTGTATGATGATAACAGAGCACAAGTATATTTGCAGGACAACAGCCAAGGCCCACCAATAATTGCTGCAGAAGCTGATGGTGTATTGCGTCACATAAAGAAAGAAAAGGCACCCGGGCCAGACAACATCACAGTGGAAAAAAATTGTAGCTTTGGGATATTTTGGAATTGAAATAACAACAAAACTGCTAAATAACATTTATTTTCGTGGGTAACATTGACCTATTAAAAATCTATATTTATTGTTCTGCCAAAGAAACCAGACACTTTAAAATGTGAAGACTACTGCACAATAAGTCCTATTATATGTCTTATAAGTCTTATATGTGACAAAAATGTGACTGAGAATAATTAAATACGAAACAAAATTAAACCAGAAATCAGAGATGAACAATGTGGATTTGTAGAAGGATAAGGTAAAAATTATGCCATATACATCTTAAAAACTCTTTTTGTTTCACAAGAAAGAGCTACAAAAGTAAAAAAAAAAAAAAACGATCTTTACTTATGCTTCATTGACTATACGAAAGCATTTGATTGTGTGAAACGTGAAGAAATAATCATGCAATTGGAAAAGTAAAATATTTATGGAAAAGATTTACGAATTATAAAGAACACATATTTGCAGCAAACAGCAGTTATGAGAATTAATTACTAGTTGGGAACACATCAGAGCATATAGAGGAGAGTAAGACAATGATGTGCACTACCATTTTATTTGTTTGCATGATACAGTGAATATTAAAGGAGATCTATCAAAGATATGCCAGGAATTGTGGTCAGTGGGCACAACATAAACAACCTGCGTTATGCTGATGGCACCGTCTTGATAGCAACAATGTCAGAAAGAACTACAGGAATTGTGGTCGGTGGGCACAACATAAACAACCTGCGTTATGCTGAAGACACCGTCTTGATAGCGACAATGTCAGAAAGTACTACAGGAATTGTGGTTGGTGGGCACAACATAAACAACCTGCGTTATGCTGATGGCACCGTCTTGATAGCGACAATATCAGAAAGTACTACAGGAATTGTGGTCGGTGGGCACAACATAAACAACCTGCGTTATGCTGATGGCACCGTCTTGATAGCGACAATGTCAGAAAGAACTACAGGAATTTTGGTCGGTGGGCACAACATAAACAACCTGCGTTATGCTGATGGCACCGTCTTGATAGCAACAATGTCAGAAAGAACTACAGGAATTGTGGTCGGTGGGCACAACATAAACAACCTGCGTTATGCTGAAGACACCGTCTTGATAGCGACAATGTCAGAAAGTACTACAGGAATTGTGGTTGGTGGGCACAACATAAACAACCTGCGTTATGCTGATGGCACCGTCTTGATAGCGACAATATCAGAAAGTACTACAGGAATTGTGGTCGGTGGGCACAACATAAACAACCTGCGTTATGCTGATGGCACCGTCTTGATAGCGACAATGTCAGAAAGAACTACAGGAATTTTGGTCGGTGGGCACAACATAAACAACCTGCGTTATGCTGATGACACCGTCTTGATAGCGACAATGTCAGAAAGTACTACAGGAATTGCGGTTGGTGGGCACAACATAAACAACCTGCGTTATGCTGATGACACCGTCTTGATAGCGACAATGTCAGAAAGTACTACAGGAATTGTGGTCGGTGGGCACAACATAAACAACCTGCGTTATACTGATGGCTCCGTCTTGATAGCGACAATGTCAGAAAGAACTACAGGAATTGTGGTCGGTGGGCACAACATAAACAACCTGCGTTATGCTGATGGCACCGTCTTGATAGCAACAATGTCAGAAAGAACTACAGGAATTGTGGTCGGTGGGCACAACATAAACAACCTGCGTTATGCTGATGACACCGTCTTGATAGCGACAATGTCAGAAAGTACTACAGGAATTGTGGTCGGTGGGCACAACATAAACAACCTGCGTTATACTGATGGCTCCGTCTTGATAGCGACAATGTCAGAAAGTACTACAGGAATTGTGGTCGGTGGGCACAACATAAACAACCTGCGTTATGCTGATGGCTCCGTCTTGATAGCGACAATGTCAGAAAGTACTACAGGAATTGCGGTTGGTGGGCACAACATAAACAACCTGCGTTATGCTGATGGCTCCGTCTTGATAGCGACAATGTCAGAAAGAACTACAGGAATTGTGGTCGGTGGGCACAACATAAACTACCTGCGTTATGCTGATGACACCGTCTTGATAGCGACAATGTCAGAAAGTACTACAGGAATTGTGGTTGGTGGGCACAACATAAACAACCTGCGTTATGCTGATGGCACCGTCTTGATAGCGACCATATCAGAAAGTACTACATGAATTGTGGTCGGTGGGCACAACATAAACAACCTGCGTTATGCTGATGGCACCGTCTTGATAGCGACAATGTCAGAAAGAACTACAGGAATTGTGGTCGGTGGGCACAACATAAACAACCTGCGTTATGCTGATGACACTGTCTTGATAGCGACAATGTCAGAAAGTACTACAGGAATTGTGGTCGGTGGGCACAACATAAACAACCTGCGTTATGCTGATGGCTCCGTCTTGATAGCGACAATGTCAGAAAGTACTACAGGAATTGTGGTTGGTGGGCACAACATAAACAACCTGCGTTATGCTGATAGCACCGTCTTGATAGCGACAATGTCAGAAAGTACTACAGGAATTGTGGTTGGTGGGAACAACATAAACAACCTGCGTTATGCTGATAGCCCCGTCTTGATAGCGACAATGTCAGAAAGAACTACATGAATTGTGGTCTGTGGGCACAACATAAACAACCTGCGTTATGCTGATGGCCCCGACTTGATAGCGACAATGTCAGAAAGAACTACAGGAATTGATAGATGCGGTGGTGGTAGAAAATGCTACAATGGGCCTCAGATTAAACATTGGAAAGACATAAGTAATGAGGATTTCAAAAAAAAAAAAAAAAAAAGAATAGTGCCTAAATGTATGATTAAAGTCAAAGCATTATTTTAGGACAAGAACAGAAATGTAAGTATCTAGGCACATGGATAATATCTGATAGAACATGTATCACAGATGTCAGTATCTAGGCACATGGATAACATCTGATGGAACATGTATCACAGATGTAAGTCTCTAGGCACATGGATAACATCCGATGGAACATGTATTACAGATGTCAGTATCTAGGCACATAGATAACATCTGATAGAACATGTATCACAGATGTCAGTATCTAGGCACATGGATAACACCTGATGGAACATGTATCACAGATGTCAGTATCTAGGCACATGGATAACATCCGATGGAACATGTATCACAGATGTCAGTATCTAGGCACATGGATAACATTTGATAGAACATGTATCACCGATGTCAGTATCTAGGCACATAGATAACATCTGATGGAACATGTATCACAGATGTCAGTATCTAGGCACATGGATAACATCCGATGGAACATGTATCACAGATGTCAGTATCTAGGCACATGGATAACATCCGATGGAACATTATCACAGATGTCAGTATCTAGGCACATGGATAACATCCGATGGAAC